GCAAATCCTACAGGTGTTATGTAAAACTACTAATTCCAACCACACAGAGAAGAATAAGTTTTCCCAGTAATTTTTACAAATTATAAATTGGTCAAATTGCCAATATAGCTTTCTAGTCAACTCTCTGAACACTTTAAGAAAAAGCAAGAAGTTACTGAGTTGCTTACTATGTGTGTGAAGCACTATGTCTACAAAGGAGTAGAGGTGTGCAAGGGTAAATAAGGCATTTTCTCCATTCTAAGCATCAATAAAGTCCCCAAACCAAAATAAATGAAGGAAATATAATAATCAATACCAGGCAGTACAACTACTAGATGAGAAAGAATTTGCACATTTTGAGACAAAACAACACAAAGGAAGGATGGTTGGGGAAATGAAGACACAAAGACCATCCACCATGTACAAACACCATCTCTTTCCATTTTTACCAATCAGAGTGGAGGGCAAAGAGTGTGAATAAATATACTAATTATTTTCTTTTTTAGAAACTAAGGGTCTGAAAGGTTAAGAATCCTTCAAAATGCATCTTATTTCACCACTTCAGAGCTTAAACCTGAGAACTTTTTTATTTTTATTTTGGTAGGGGCGAAGTATGGGGTTGCTCTACCACTAGGCTACCTTCCCAGATCTGTTTTATTTTGAGATGGGCATCTCACTAAATTGCTGATCATCTCCCTACTTTGCTGAGGCTGTTCTTGAACTTGCAATCCTCCTGCCTTAACCTCCCAAGTCACTGGGATTACGGGCATGTGCACTGCATCATGATCAAAACTTGACATTTTATCACCCAAAAGTGAGGTAGACCCAGCATCAGAATGATTGGAGAGCCTCCCTTCTCCCCACACTCCTTCCCTCTCTTTCTGTCTTACATAACAACTCTTAGATCCAGATACATCACATTCTTTGAAACACCTCTAATTTCTCTTCCTAAGATCCTTCCTTCTAATACTCCACATACTTGTGAATCAGGACAATTCCTCTTGTCCACAGAACTCAAGTTCAAGAGTGGGTCCTCCAAGAAGCCATGAGTCAAGATGTATCAGAGTTCCAGGAGGAGCAGAGGAGAATGCCACATCTGTCATTCTCCAGAGACAAGGGCAGAGCAGTAATTTCCTCAAGAGAGATCCAAAAACCACGGTGGGTGCCTGTTAACATTCATGTTCAGCAAAGCCAAGGCAATGGAAGAAACCATGTACAAACTGTTAGTATAATGGGGAATTTTCCCACAAAGGGACAAACCACCAGAGGGCAGCATATCCCCAGTACCATGCAAAGATAGGATAGATTGGAGGTGACGCAGCTGGCACGAACCAGAGCTGCCGTGAACCCCTCTGAATTTGCCTGGGATTTATCTACAAAGTATTTGACATTTGAATTGCTCTTGGATTTCAACACACTAAAACAGTCTCTTTTAGCCATGTTATTTCTTCTTTTAACCTTCATTGAGGGTAGAGGGTCTACTCTACATCCATATGCACTCTCCCATAATTCCCAAAACTACATGGATTCATTAGGTAGGCCTTCATAAACCTTCTCTCCTGGGAAATTTCCCATGGCTACTTCTATTCCCCAAAAGCAGAAAATTAGAAAATTTTGCTGTCCATTTGACTTCCCTATTCTTTTTTTTTCCCCAGAAATTTCTTTTATTTATTTATATTTTTTTATTGGTTGACTTCCCTATTCTTATTTAATCCCTTTGGAAACCACTACTATCAATTTTCATTCAACAAATTCAAATTGAGCCCAGAAATGTTCATTTTTAAGAAGCATCCCATGGTGATCTTGTATGTACCATAAAATTGCCATGTACTCTATTTTCTTGATAACTTGTTTCCCAAAAACTTGAATATAAGATTCCCTACAGACCTCGGATCTTCCATGTCCAACCAATTGCTAGATATGACTAGCAGAACTTCAGCAAAACCACTGAGATACTGTCTGCTATCTACACTACTGCCACTACACTACATCTGGCTCACTCATGGAGCACTCTGCCCTTAGCAGTATTCTAGGCATCCCACATATGGCTACCAATCCTAGTTTCCCAGCACCCTTACCACAATTAAATACAAATACCTGCTTTTACTGTTCTTTTATGCTTCCTTTCTTATCAGATTTGGCTTGTCTTAGGAGCATACTCTGCACCCGTATCCTTGCGGTGGGTGGTGGGGGGTGTCTCTACATGCCAAAATATGTGCCTGACCTTTAAATCTAAGGAAGCCCATTCCTAAACACATTGCTCAAATAACAGTCTTTTTCAACCCATTAACGTGCACTCAAGATTCTCTTTATCTTGCAAACTTGTAAGTTTTATCTTATCACTTGGTATACTTCAATTGTTTCTAAATCTCTATTATGTCTACTATTACTGGATCAAGGATTATATGGAACCAACCTTTAATTTGTATCCCAAAGGCACTGAGCAAGACTGATTGCTCAATAAATACTGGTTAACTGACTGGAGTCAGATTAGAACTAGGACTAAACTATGATAGGTAATCTGTTACTGAGGGAAAGAAAAGAACATTGTGCTATTCTCTTCAGAATGTTTCTATTTTGTCTCAAGTTTAGGTTGGGTTATTTTTTAAAAGAAGTCAAGAGAAAAGCTTTCCATGTAATTGGACACTCTCAACAGGATGATAATTGTATGTTCTATTTCCTCAATACACAAGCCACATTTTCAGGACAGTGGTTCCCAAACTTTGCTACTATATATTAGAATTACCTTTGCTTTTCAAAGGAAGAAATTACCTAGGGAGCTTTGTAAAACTTCACTTCCCAATTCACATTCATTGCAATTAAGTCTGATTAGAGATGAGAGCCTGACACCAGTATTTTTAACAGTACCAACTGATAAATGTGCAGCAAAGTTTGGAACTAATTGTTTTTGGAAGTCCTTCAACTCAGTATGCCTATGGCACAGTTCCCTTCTGGTGGGGACAGTACATGTCATTAACAAATATTAGGTAAATGGATGAAAGTTCAAAGGAAGTGACTCCCACATGCCATAACTTCATAGCAAACATATAAATGAAGTATGAGCTATTCATTGATTCTGATATGTAACAATGAACTTTGTTGCCATCTCAAATTAAAATAACTGCTACACAGACCTAAACAGGACAAGATATGTATGTGTATATGGGTATGCTATATTAATTATATATCACATATATGTTATATATGTTGTCGAGGATATGTTAGTATGTTACAATACTGTTCTTTTCTTAGGGGACTAAATTTTAGACATTTGCTGATGCTTTGCAACTGTTTCAGTAATACCACAAGAACGAACAACACAATATCAAATGTCATTTTTTCAAAAGCACATTAAGTAAAAGGTTAATTGCTTCAACCTAACCATATGAAATGCAAGTTTTCAGCCAATGATAGTAATCTTTAAAAACTAAAAGCAATGATTAGAAAAAACTTGTCAAACATATTTCATTAAATGCTTCTAATCATTAGGTATGTAGACACAAGAAGTACATGGCAGACATTAATGTTTATTAATGGGATACACATTAAAGGTTGGTTGCATATAATCCTTGATCCAGTAATAGTAGACAGAACAGAGATTTAGAAACAATTGAAGTATACTTCAGTTCTCAATCTGTTTTCCAGGCTCATGGTAGGGTTGTGCTTCCCAGACCCTTTGACCCTTCAGTTGTAAGCAACTGTAACTCACTTCCAGGCCACAGTATCCACTTGCTGGTGCAAAATCCTCCAGAACTACCTCTCTCTGGCAATAAGCAGGGTCCTTGAACTTGGATGGCTGCTCCGTAAGCCCAGCGATCTGAGTGATGAGCAAAGCCCTCAACTAATGCCCGATGAGCGAAAAATAAGTCTTGTGGTTTAAAGCCATGGTGACTGGGAGGTTTCTTGTTAAGGAACACAAACTAGCCTCATCCTTATAGACGAAAGCAAGACAATACTACCCATAGCATAAAAAGAATAAATAAAAACCAGGAGAGCTGATTTGGGGAAAATCACTAAGAGCAACATTTCCTGAAGAAATTTCAAAATTTATGATAAAAGGCTGAGAGATTCTATGATGTTCCTCAACTTTTTAAATAATATAAGACTGTGGATTCTTCTAGACTATTTTTATCACTCCACTGAAAGCAAAAGGTTTCAGTATAGGAAGACTTGCAAACAAAAGATTTGGGAAGAAAGACATTTTTTTTTTTAATTTTTAAATGGGAAAATCTCACGTAAAATGTGTAAGCCCACTCTTCTGTTAAAAACAAGAGCATATTCATGACACATTTACACACAGATTCTTATATAGTTGTTCCATTCACTGTACATAACACTCCACAAATCCACATCTCCCAATCAGAAAGAAAGCCTTCTAGATAGATCTTTATTTGTTCAGGCAGAAGTAAGTATCTATAAAACATACCCTTTGGGAAAAGAATTTATCAAATTTAATAAGCATGCAAATGATACAATTAAGGATCTAACTTAAGGACCTCAGGAAAGAAACACGAATGCTGAGGAATATTAAAATTATAGTAATTTTTAAAGCACTAGGAAAATGACCAAATTTGTCAGTTCAACTTTAGTACAGTTTGAAATAAATGAAAATCTGATCCATCAGTCTGAATCACCACTGTAAGTGTATGGGCAAGGCGCTTTCTGTGCCTTGAGTTGTTATCATCGATGGGCAAATTTCCAAAACATAAAACAGCTCGTCTTCATTTATTATCTGACACTCTAATTTTACAGGTAGCAGTCTGGCCTCATATCAAAGACCTTGTTTTGACAGAAAAATGTGAAGACACTGCTTCATCCCACTAGGTCATCCAAAACAGGACTAGAATAAACAACATGTAAGAATGAATTAAATATGTCATATAAATAACTGATATCTGGCATGAGCATTCTGTATGAAGACATTTCATGCAATAACACTCAACCATGCAATGCATATTTTAAATGGACTTTTAGATTTTTACATACCTATAGCCTTTCATGAGTAAAATGATTCACATTACCTCGTGTTTCAACAGCACTGATGCACTTTCTGAGAATTGTGAAACCCATCTTATCCAACTGTGCATCTGAAAGAAAGTGATAAAATATTGAAGGCACAAGCTATTAAGAATACAAACAACAGTAAGTGTTGGCAAGGATGTGGGGGAAAAGGCACATTCATACATTGCTAGTAGGACTGCAAAATGGTGCAGCCAAAATGGAAAGCAGTATGGAGACTCCTTGGAAAACAGAATGGAACCACCATTTGACCCAGCTATCCCTCTCCTCGGTTTATACATAAAGACTTAAAAATAGCATACTACAAGGGCACAGCCACATCAATGTTTATAGCAGCAGTAGATGAATGGATAAAGAAAATGTGGTATATTTACACAATGGAATATTATTCAGCAATAAAAGAATAAAATCATAGCATTTGCAGGTAAATGGATGGAGTTGGAAAATAAAATGCTAAGATAAGTTAGAAAATCCCCCCAAACCAAATGCTTTCTCTGATATAAGGAGGCCGATTCATAGTAGGGTTGGGAGGGAGAGCTTGGGAAGAATAAGACAAACTCTATATAGGGCAAAGGGGTGGGAGGGAAAGGAAGGGGGTATGGGGGTAGAAATGAGGATGGACTGACATGGACATCATTACCCTAAGTACATGTATGAAGACACAAATGATGTGAATATACTTTGCATACAACCAGAGATATGAAAAATTGTGCTCTATGTGTGCAATATGAATTGTAATGCATTCTGCTGTCATATATAACAAATTAGAAACTTGTTTTTTAAATATTGAGGGCACAAGTATTTATCATATTTCTGTTCCTTATAAAAATAGAAAAATATTTAACTGAATTCAATTTTCATTCCATTGTTTTAAAAAACCTAAAGGCCATTTATTTCCTGTGTAAATATATAAATGAAAATCTTAACTATTTTGAAGATCACTTGCTGGAACAATAGGACATCTATCACCAATTTATTTTTAAAAAAAGCTCATAATATAATGTAACTTCTTTTAAACAGTTGAAAACAAAATGAGGAAAGCTATCTAGAAAAGATGAATTTTGCCAAAAATTCCAACAGTAGCTTAGTTGAAAAAAACCTATACAAATGAGGTATCTTAAGTTATTTGAGAGTTGAGGGATGCAAACTACTTTTTTTTTTTTTGTAAACACAGGAAACAAAATTTTAAGAGAAGCTTTTTTAAAATACTATTTGGAAAATGAGCTTGAATTAAAAAATTGATATTTTATACCACTCTCCAAGCCTTTAAAATAACATTTTATTATTTTCATAATGGACTAAAAACAGATGGTTCATGTGGCAGAACAGATTATTTTGAAAATACAATTTTGTATCTTTTCTAATATAGATGCTTGCCTACGATTAAGCTGGTATATTTGTATAGCTTAATGAAAGCCAATTCTTGTTTCAAAAATGAAATCAAGGAAAGTGGCACCCTGAGCCGCTGCATTTAGAACCCAGGAAAGTGTAACACTGATCCCCCGCTCTCAGCAGGAATTCAAGAACAATCTATGGATGTAAACTTCACGTGAAATCCATGGGGCTAAGCTTGAGGAGAATGTTAATGATGAAAACTGAGCAATGGTTTACTGTTCCGGAACCTTCTATTCACAGAGTTTCACAAAAACGCAAATATTTCTCTACCACCACCACAAGATGTGTTTCAGCTTCTCTATAATAAGTTTAAGTTAAAAAAGGACACACAAGAAAAGAGGAAAAGGGAGAATAAGAAGGGAAAAGGGAAGAGGGGACGGAAGGAGGGAAAGCAGACAAAGGAAGGGATGTGGGGAGAGGGGTTGAAGGGCTTCAGTGGGTGGGCTGCTTCCTAGGGTCCCCCGTCAAAGCCCTGTGCCAGGCCAGAGCAGGTATCTTCTTCAAGCACTGGCACAACTGACTACGATTATTTTCAATAAGAATCTCCAAACTGTAGACGTCTGATCAGTGTAACCTTAATTTCTCCAAATATATCAAAAGTAAACTCATAAAAAGCCCAGGACATCTGATATTCCTGTCCTATCTCAATATTTAACAGAGTTAGGCAGTACTTCATTTTCCTCTAACACATACCATGCACATGAAGACCCCTGTCCTAAAGTACCTAAGTGTGTTGAGTGTCCATTTGTTGCTGCTATTTTCTGAGGTATAATGGTAGACTATTTTTGTAGCCCACACTCAGAGGCTGTAAGGATAAATGATATTAAAGGGTGAGAGAAATGCAAAATTGCCAAAATCAAAATTGAATCATCTGTCCACTCTAACCAAAAAAAAGTTGTTAATTCTTAGGCACAACTGCCTGACAGCAACTGTCACAGAAGACTGTGCCAGAACCACAGGCTTGCAGAGAGGCCACGGCAACTTAATTCAAAAAGTGCTTCTACAAGCATACCTGTCTGTTCAACCTCAGGCTGGTGCCACAAGGACCACACTCCTCGTGATCAAGGACTATTGCTTCAAAATATCTGATCTAATCCTTCCTGTTTTGGCATTTAAAAATTTCTCCTTGCCTTCACTTCCTCAAAATCAGCCACAAGTTACTGTGGTGTGCACATTCTCATGTGGTACGCTGCTGTTCCCAAGTAAATATCATTACTCTTTGGAGACTAAAAATCATTACTCTGTTTTTACATTGATAGAAGGTAAGGTGAAGAGGATTGGAAACATGGACCTCAGAAACAGCTCCTAATCACATGATCTTGCAATTCAGAGAGCAGATTAGAGGATGCACACCTAAAATGCTTACGCAATTGTTTATGACTATAAGAATAAATGCCCAAGAGAACCATAGATAGAAAAACTCATAGAAAAGTTCTCAGATGAAAGAGGGCTCCAGCAGTCCAGAACACTTTGAGTTGGCCTCAGTGGATAAGACAGAGGGTATAGGCTAGACAGAAGATGAGCTAAAAAGGGTGCAGAAAGAGAGCCACCCCCCACCCCAGCAACAGTAATGGCATCACTAATGAACACTGACTCATGTGAGAAAAAGGGAAAAAAAACAGTCACTTTTATAAATTTGCACTTACTTCCTTCGGGTCTCGGGAGGATGGCTCTATTAAAACTGTGGAAGAGCTAGTAAAAGAGAAAGGGAAAACAATACTTTTAACAAATGAGTAAACGTGACTCAAGCTGGCATGCTTAGGACCATGGGAAAAATACATACTCATAAATTTGATATTGGCTAATGAGATATAACATGAAATGGATTTGGTCTTCATCCACGCTTTGTGGCACAAAGATCCTGAACCCTTGGGATTTCTTAATAGGAGTGTCCTGTTACTCAGAAGGAGTCTTTTCTGATGGGACCCGAGTTTATACAAATAAGGTGACCTAGGAGATGGCACCTGGATATAGCCTCAGGATGGGACTGGACAGGACATCCCAAGTGATTAAAGAGCTGGGACTTTTGGTCCCCATTCATTGGTGGGGATGAGGTGGAGATTATGTAAATACTCTGAAAAAAAAGATCTGGTAAACTTCCAGTTTAATGAACACATCAAGGTGTTGGGAGGATGGTGTTCCCACAGTGTCAAGGAAGCTCTGCAGATCCACCATACCCCAACCCCTTCCACCAGGCTGTTCTGGGGTTGCATCTTTTATAATACACCAGTAAATACGCTGTTTTACCCTGAATATCGTTTAGCCACTCCAGTCAATCACTGAACCCAAGGAAGGGGGTCATGAGAATTCTCGATTTACAACCAGTTGGTCAGAAGTCCAAGTGGCCCAGACTCATACCTGTTATTTCAAGTCAAGAAAGATGTGCGAGACTAAGCCCTTAATTTGTGGGATCTACCAGTAACTCCGGGTTGGTAGTGTCAAAATTGAATTCATTTCTAAGACACCCAGCTGGTGTCAGAGAATTGGTCCATGTAGGGAGAACACCACGTATCTGGTATTCCTTGTGAGAATGTAGAAAAAGTGAGGTGCTTTATCAGTTAATGATAAAGCATTAGTATTGAAGTTATTATTATGAGCTCAGATGCAATGATAAACAGAAAGGAACATCTCTCACAGTGTGCCAAAAGAGCAAAAATAAGAAAGGGGCTGCTGTTCTTAATGAACTTACTGAAGTTGTATGTAAATTTGTAATTCTCAGTCTTAGAGTGACAAGTGGACAAAAAAAATCTTCTGCATCCTAACCAGTAAGTTCAAGTTCATTTTTTCACTATTTCTAAAATCTGGTGTTTACTTAAATTACATCCAAAATAGCAAGATGGTAATTTGGAGCAGCCTCCAAGAGTGCTGCTGGTCCATTATTTGCGAGGCATATTGCAGCTGCAAAAATAAACATTTAGTACCTTATGTGTTACCCATACAAATACAGAGGTGAATGTCGTCTTTCTGCAGATTTGCCTTTGTTAACTGCCCAACACAGTATATAAGTTCAAAGTTTTACTGCATTTGAAAGACTGACTTCTCACCAACTTAGCCACACAATCTTTCTGTCATTCAAGCTCACTTTTCCAAAGCACTTCTTGAATCTGCGGACATACAGCCTCTCTCCAGTATACTGCCTTGACTAAAGATGATTAGCATGACTTGCTTTGGATCTCAGTAATCATCAACATGGTGAACAGTTAACATCCATACCAAGATTGCCATGTTCATTATTGCTCCCATTGCCTAGACTCTCTGTTAGCATGAAATAAGACATCTTCAACCCATTTTATAAGCCTTATGCTGAAATTTCCTTGTACTGTATAGACCCACTTCCACTTTTCAAATCATGCTCTTTCCTTTTTTCCTAAACCCTTTGGAAATAGAAAATGCTTTCCAATACATTCACCTGGTACCTGCTTTGGCAGTTTACACAGAGCCATAATGCTTTCTGCAGAGCTTATTGGAATTGATCTATGGTGTTTCCACAGAACAACTGTCCTCACCAATTTCCCAGTGCAATTCATGATCTGCCAAATTATCAACTCCAAAAGGCCAGCAATCTGCCAAAATAGCAGTAGTGCTTGAACGAAAGTGGCAACAGACTGAACCTGGGTGACTGTAGATCTGTATCACTACCTTTATTCCTCAAAGCATCATGAATAAGGCTACATAATGCTGAATCCTGTATAAATCAATAGAATAAAGCATAAATTATTAAATCAAGCAAAATAATGACAGCAGTTAATGTTGCCTCGTATTATTTCAGTGAATAACAAAATGAATTGCAACCGTGCATCATGCTCACTCAGAAGACTATCTGATCCAAAAAGAAGAAATGGAGCATTCTGATGACTTCTCAAAGCCAATCAGAGTGGTGAAGTCAAGAAAAGTCAAATAAAACTGAATGACTTGTGCTTGCTGCTGCCACCCTATGCCAGACTACTAGAGGGCTGAATGTTCCTAAAGTGAATTCAAATACCAGTGTCAGCGAGGAACTTGCCACAAACACTGTAAAACAAAAATAACATAAAAATGAACACCAATCAAACTACAGGTTTTGAAATGAAGCTAAACCACTGTTTATTCTTACAGCTTCTTTTCCACCCAGAGCTTCCAACCACTGTTTCCTTTCCTCTTCTGAAAACGCCTGCATGGTCAAGGAAACACCAGGCCTGAAAGACACCAAGAACAATCAGGTTATCCGAGGGCACAAGACAAAACTTCCTAAAGACAGTAGAATGAATCAACATAACGCTCCTGTGTTCATATATGAGTACACAACCAATATAATTCCCTATCATGAAAAACCACAAGAATGGGATTCTGATTAGAATAAGTTGTAATCTATGTACAATATGTCAAAATACACTCTACTGTCAGATATATCTAAAAAGAATTTAAAAATAAATTTTTTTAAAAAAGCTGGGCACAATGGCACATGCCTATAATTTCAATGACTGGGAAGACTGAGGCAGGAGGACTGCAAGTTCAAAGCCAGCCTCAGCAACTTAAAAAGGCCCTAAGCAACTCAGTAAGACCCTGACTCTAAATAAAATTCAAAAAAAGGGCTGGAAATGTGGCTCAGTGATTAAGTGCCCCTGGGTTCAATACCCACTACCCCAAAAAACAAAAACAAACAAAAAACAACCCTCTTCCTAATTTCCTAAGAGTTTACTATGAAGTTTAAATTTCTGGTGTATTTATATTAAAAAAAAGGCAAAAACAACAAAAAAAATCAAAATAACGGGAAAACAACCAAACCCAAAAAAGGTTTTCAACCTGCAATTAACAAATTCCCCTGAAAAATTAAAAAAATTTAATTTCCCAAGAAAAAATTTCCGGCCTAAACCCTTTTACACAGACAAGTAGCAAATACATTCACACTGTTGTGCAACAGTGGCCACCATCCACCTCCAGAATGTTCCATCCTGTAGAACTGAAGCTCTGTACAGCCACTAAACACCAAGTCCCATTCCCCATCTTCTTGGCCCCTAGAGGCCACCATTCTACTTTCAATCTTCATGATTTAGACTATTCTAGATACCACACATAAGTAGAATCATAAAGTGTTTGTCTTTTCATAACTGGCTTCTGTCACTTAGCATCTTTAAGACTCATCGCACTGGAACATGCATCAGAATTTTTGCCCCTTTTTAAGGCTAATATTCCATTGTGTGTATATGACACATTTTATTTCTCCAGTGTCATATCTAGGAACACTTTGGCTACTTCTACATTTTGGTTATTGTGAAGAATGTTACTGTAAAAAATGGGTGCAGTTTCTTTTTGTTTGTTTTTGGTACCGGAGATTGAACCCAGGGGTATCTAACTACTGAACCACATCCCCAGCCCTTTTTTCTATTTTTACTTAGAGACAGGATCTTGCTAAAGCTGCTGAGGCTGGCTTTGAACTTACAGTTTCCTGCTTCAGTCTCCTGAGCTGCTGGAATAACAAGTGTGTATCCCCCTCCCTGCCCCACCATGGCTGGCCAAACTGGAATTCAAATACCTTTTCAAGTCGCTTCTCTAAATTCTTTCAAGTATATTCCCAGAAATGGAGTTATTGGGTGATACAGTATATATATACATGTGTATATACAGTGATAAATAAGTGTAAGAAAAATGCTTCCCATCATCATGTCATCAAGGAAATGAAAATTAAAATAAGATAATCACTACATACCAATTAGAAAGTCCAAAATTTTAAAAAATGAAAATATTAAATGCTGATGAAAATGCAGAACAACAGGAACTATTATTTGTGGCTGGTAGGAATGCAAAATGATACTTATGCTTTGAAAGAGTCTGGTAGTTTCTTATAACAATAAACCTACTCCTATCATAGGAACCAGAAATCATATTCTTTGGTAGAGTATTTACCAAAGTCATTGAGAACTATGTTCCCACAAAAACCTGCACAAGGATGCTTCTCACAGTTTTATATATAATTGCTAAAACTTGAAAGCAACCAAGATGTCCTTCAGTAGGTCAATAAACTATAGTAGATCCAGACAATAGAACATTAATCGATGCTAAAAAGAAATTCACTATCACACCATGAAAAGCCATGAAGTGACCTCATGTGAAAGAAGGCAGTCTGAAATGGCTATATGAGTCCAATAGTACGACAATTCTGGAAAACACAGAAACATAGGTAGTAAAAAAGTCAGTGGTTGCCAGAGGCTGGGTGGGAGAGGAGAACAGAGCACAGAGGATTTTCAGAACAAACACTCCATATGACATTACAGCAATAGATACATATAATCACACATTTTTTCAAACCCATAGAGTGTACAACCCTAAGAGTGACCCCTCATGTAAATTATGGACTTTGTGTGATCATGATGTGTCAAAGCAGGCTCATCAACTGTAACGAATGAACGGATGTGGACGGGGTGCCGATTATAGGGGAGGGAGGCTATGTAGCATGGGAGCAGGGGATAAACAGGAAATCTCTACAGCCAGCCTCCTCACTAGAACTATAAAACAGGTGGAGAATGGAAAGGTCAAGAGGCTACTAGGTCCGGCCACACAGAGCCTCCTTGGCTATAGCTAAGGATTTGGTTTGTCCTAAGGGCCACTAAAGGTTTTTAGTAGGGAAGCATGACCTACTAAAACTGCACACAAACACTCTTGCTACTGGGTAGAGAATACATGGAACATAGTCAAGAGTAACTGCATAGATATATTAGAAAACTAGAAAGAAATAAAATAACAGAAATAAAAAAAAAGATGAGCTTGAAAAATACTCCAGAAATGATTCTACATGCTGTAGGCATCAATAAGAAAGATGTCACTCCAATAAAGCATAGTGCCAGGCGTGGTGGCACTGGACTGTAATCTCAGTGACTCGGAAGGCTGAGGCAGGAGGGTCACAAATTTGAGGCCAACCTCAGCAACTTAGCAAGACCACTCAGCCTTAGTGAGATCCTGTCTCAAAATAAAAATATAAAAAGGACTGGGGATGCGATTCAGTGGTTAAGAGCCTCTGGGTTCAATCACAGTACCAATCAATCAATAAACAAAATATAAATGCTAGATCAACTACAACATAGCATCAACTGGTAAAGTAGTAAAGGTGTTCACTGAAAGACAAAAACAGTAGCAAAAAAGGACTTAAAATTTTTATACTCATAGTATCAGACAATGGGCCTAAAGAAATTCCTTGTACTCTCAAACCTATGTTCTCCTAAAACTTTCCCTATGTATGAGGGGATGTATCAGCTCCAGATAGGTAGTTTGATATTCTTAACCCAGTTACACACAGAGCAGCAAACAGAGATGTTGGGCAGATGGAAAAGTGACTGGTTCTAGTAACTCGGAACATAAGAAAAAAGTTTTGAATGTCAGAGTTTAAAGAGTTATGAACTAGAATTTATAGATAGCACAACGGGTAGGGATTAATTGTTAAATTTCAGGCCAAAGAGCCATACTCTGTCTGCATAAATCCAAAGTGGCATTCAAAGGTGAATATCACTGTAAGCCTTGCCTCCAAGCCCAGTGACTCAAAGTTGAGCTGCTGCGTGAACTACAGCAGCAAACATAGAAATAGATCGTTCACAAGGGAAGAAAATCCTATTTGCTTACATTTTGACAAACAATATCATAACACTTCCACTTCTGAGAACTAATTTATCATGCTACACATTCTTCAGAACGCCAGCACTTGCGACACATGGCTTGCATTAAAGGGGTCAGCTACTAGTATTACATAAGGCTGGGTTTCCATCCGACCACAACACTTGCTCACATTCCATCCTGTTTACTGAACCCTATCTCTAAAACATTAGCGTGGGAAAAGTAACACGTCATGCATTCAAACATGGCTTAGTCATTTCAAATTTCTCAAGTTTCTTTTTTCTTTTTTAAAATCATCAATTGCTAGGATATCATGAAGCAAAATGAGACATTAGGAAGCACTGAATCCTCTCGAAACTGAAGTATTACAGGTTGGAACCCTGACTGTTTCTAAAACTGTAGTCTTTTGGGAATATTCAGAATACTTTCATGGACTTTACCAGGTCAGCATCCTTAATCTGAAAATCTGAAATTAGAAAAAGGGCTGGGGGTAGAGCATACACTTAACATGCAGGAGACCCTGGGTTCCATCACCAGAACCACAAAAAAAAAAACAAATTTTGAAACTATGAACATCAACAAGAGGCTGGAGTATTTCAGATCAAAGATGCTCAACCTGAAACAGTGTCTCTATTAAACTGTACTATAAAAATGCTGTAGCTCTTAAAACAAGATATGTTTTATTAATAAAATTTAATGGATAATATAAGACAATAAGGCAAATATAAGGATAAAAAAAGAACAGAACATTTTACAACACGTGTTGGATTATTGCATATAAATAAGAAAAAGCCATTACATCTTGATTTCATGGAGAAGCCAGGATGACAAAATCAGTGACTGCACCAGAGTTAGATTAGAATTGGAAAAGTCTAACTTGGGGTTACTGGAGCCAGTCCTGCTGCTGTGTTGCACTGGCTAGGCCAAGCACATAGCCTTGTCTGATTCATCTGACACCTCATTTCAAACAAACTACTACCATGCACCAGGCACGAGCTCTGACTAAGTCACCATGCACAGCAAGTCAAAACTGATTCTTGGTGAATACAGAGGCAACGGTCTAATAGCATAAGTCTCAGGAAGGAAAAAAAATGAACCAAGTGAAAACAAACTGCCAAGCAAGTTTGTTATCTGCGGAGTTTAAGGTTAGGATTGAAATCTGCAGAAAGGAACAGTTATGATAAACATTTTCTTTTGTTTCATTTGTTTGGGTTTTGTTTTATTTGGTATTAGGGACTGAACCCAGGGTGCTTAACCACTGAGCTACCTCCCCAGCACCTCACCCTCTTTCGTATTTTATTTAGAGAGAGGGTCTCCCTGAGTTGCTTAGGGCCTCACTAAGTTGCTGAGGCTGGCTTTGAACCCATGATCCTCCTGCCTCAGCCTCCCAAGCAGCTGAGATTACAGGCATGTGCCATCACACCTGGCTCATTTTCTTGTGGGAGATATATATAAATATATATGTAGTTGTAGATGAACCTACGGTATCTTTATTTTTATGTGGGGCTAAGGATCAAACCCAGTGTCTCACACATGAGAGACGAGTACTCTACCACTGAGCTACAGCCCCAGCCCCCATTTTCTTGTTCTTAAA